GACGGGTGCTTAGATTAGTGATAGAGTTGTTTGTACTTGTTAGCTGGGTTTTGAGGCTCTGCATCTCGGCTATCTAAATGGCCTGGCCGGCAAACAACTTTCTCAGTTCTTCGAGGACGATTTTGTCAGGACCGGGGTTTGTCTCTACATCCCCCGACAGCAGTAGCAAGGTGCGTATGACATCAATACATTCAGAAACAAGTAAAAGGCAGCACTGTGGGCTTGGCAGCTGCACCAAAAATAATCACTCGATTTTTTAGTAAGTGCTTGATACGAGCTACTAACCTGCATGATCAGGATGAACGGATTAGCGGTCTGTGAATTGGCACAGCCGCGAAGCCCACAGTGGTGGACGGTGGTTGCTGCTTTATAGTCTGCGCATAAGATGTTGTCGACGGCAATAGGGCAGCTAGATTCCTTTCGATGATCCACAGCGGGATTGGGGGCGCTGCTGAAGGTCCTGCAGCACGGGTGACAGGCAGGAGGAAAACGCAAGGTTCACTTCCGTTGCCAGCAGGCCCGAAGTTTCCCGGAGTGGCAGACGAGGCTGTCAGAAAGGCAGACATGAGCAGGTCGGTGATGATGCGGGCAAAAACCTGCATGATCAGGATGAATGGATTAGCGGTCTGTGAATTGGCACAGCCGCGAAGCCCACAGTGCGCGGTGGATGGTGGTTGCTGCTTTATAGTCTACGCATAGGATGTTGTCGACGGCGATAGGGCAGCTAGATTCCTTTCGATGATCCACAGCGGGACTGGGGGCACTGCTGAAGGTCCTGCAGCACGGGTGACAGGCAGGAGGAAAACGCAAGGTTCACTTCCGTTGCCAGCAGGCCCGAAGTTTCCCGGAGTGGCAGACGAGGCTGTCAGAAAGGCAGACATGAGCAGGTCGGTGATGATGCGGGCAAAAACCTGCATGATCAGGATGAACGGATTAGCGGTCTGTGAATTGGCACAGCCGCGAAGCCCATATCGAGCATGATATCTCGGGTAACATCCAAGAACCGAGGCATGAAGGAGACAGACGCCCTCTAACTCGTTCAAGTCTAGTGGTAAGCAGAACAGCATACAGCTTACTCTATTATAATCTACTGCGCAGAGAAATCTCTGCGTAGGTACTGACTGCGCAGAGAAATTGTCTAAGTCAAACGAAAGCAGGGAGAGAGATACTTTCTAGGGTGGGCTTTCCGCCATACCCCCAGAACCTGGACGAGGTTCTAGTAGAAATCCAGGGTCCAGTTTGCAGCAAGATTTCGATCTCACCGCTGCTCAAGAACATGGACGTAAAAACAAACAGAAAGCGCAGAGGGGAGAGAGTGCGATGACTCCGAAAAACATTGAAAAACAAATCAAATGTTTTGTATGTGGACGCTTCGAGGTACCATTTTAAACGGTCAGCTGCATCAGTACTTAGCAACGACAACTGCATGGTGACATGTGCATCTCTGTAGACGTCCTCGATCGCCAAGGCGGAATGCTTTGCAATTGCCCTTGCAATCAAAGCGCAGAAACAGAGAGATGAACCGCAGACAACTATCAATTCCAACTCGCAGGAAGCGTGCTGTTTCTTTTTAAGAGGCCGCCTTCCGATAAAAATAAGCGAATTCTTAGGTGGGAAATTGACGAACAAATACAGGCTGATCTGGTGTCCAAAAGATGCAGGCCTGGAGGGGAACGAAACTGCCGACACTTGTGCTCGACGGCTCACGAACTCAGCAGAGCTTCGACAGCACATTCAATCCTCTGAAACACTCCAGGAGGAAGCTATCGAGGAGGATAATGACCCATCCATAATGGCCCCTCGCGAAATTCTTGCTCTGACCCAGAGGTGCAGCTTGCACTTCTGCGTCACGTCAGGCAGACGGCGGCAGCCAGTGGAGCCCTGGACTTGGGGCCCCACCCATCAAGCTCATGACCCTTGTCCCAAACCCTTGCAAATAAAGTTTTTCCTTCCTTCTTTCCATTCAAGACAGCTCTCCCTCTGCCGATGAGTACATAAACTGAAAACTTTATGGCATTGAAGCTTTAAAACACCCTAAGTGAACTTGCTCAAGGCATTCGCGCCTCCCAACACAGCCGAGGCAACGTTACTCTGGTGCATCGGTCCACCCAAGCAAGATAATGGAAGCTGAAGAGCTGGCCATTGCACTTGCCATCCATAAAGGCCTGCATGCAAACAAATTGCTGACAATACTCACCGATTCCCAGCAGGCCTGCAGCGACTTCCTGCAGGGCAGAATTAACGCGCCTGCTGCACATGTCCTTGCTCAAATACCAAGAGAGGACGCCTACATACAGACCGTTCCATGGATACCAGTATTCTCCGACACCACGAGTAACTTGCACACGGAACGGGCAGCTCGAGGCTTTATACACAAGCGAGCGCCTCTCATATTCACTGCAGTAAACCTGAAGCTAGTTGGTGTTCAGTATGCCGCAATACTGAGTTACAACAGAGGGCAGCGCGTATGGTATCTCCCACCTCACAAAATGCTTACGGCGGAGGAGACCACTGCCTGGCATAAACTCCAAATGGGAATCTACACAAGCCTACACACACTACACTGCATGCGCCCTACATCTCACAGAGAGGAATGCTCATGATGTGGTGCCACACCAATTCTGTACCACATTACGTGGGAGTGCACTCTACACGACCTAGAACACCACAACATAAACACCGCGAGTGAGCAGCGGGAGGCACTGCTGTCCAGCTTAGCACTCGGCGACCAGATCAGGGTCGTACAGAGAGCAGAGCGGATGCCAAGAGCCACTGTCCCCTAGGACTAGGGACCCATACCATCAGAAAAGCCCCTTCGGGGCAACACACAGGAGATTTCTTTGCCTGTACATAAATATGTTTGTCATCATGCCAAGCTGTGCACAATGCATATACTGGTACCAGTCACAAATGAAGACAACTCGCCAAGCAAAAGCAGCAAGGTATACAAGCAAGGCAGTCTGTAAACACAAAACTTTACCTCTAGGACAACAGAGGCACATTGTAACCAGTTACATAGTTTATTCAAGCATGTAAGTGTTGATCAGTGTGCTTTGTTTTCATCGCAACATTATAGCAAATTTCAAGAGAGGACTACGTGTGCACGGTATGCCACTCGGCGGTGGCACCCCTGACAGCAATCCCTCTTCAAGTAATGCATCAGCTTAAGTGGGTGCCTACAGACATTTCTAACGTGGGTGCCGCCATACCGCATAGCGGGCAGCGCCTTCAATGGTCCGGCAAACCTCTGGCCTGTGCGAAGCTTTGCATTTGCTGGTAAGGTATTTGGGTAGTTGCAGTTGGCTTTTTACGTTCTGGCACGCTGAAGAGTGTATCAAGTAATACAGACTAGGTAGAAAAATGAGTCCATGAGACACCCTGAAAGGTTTTGTTTCTTTCGGGGTGAAATATGACAGTATTTGACAGCACGAACGTGTCCCAATGTTTGATATCGCATGCTTACGACACTCTTTTTGTTAAAAATAAATGTGCAAATATTTCGATTTGTGGTAGCAGAACAAGCAAGAGCTTGCATCTTTTCGGGATACAATTTAATTTTTTTTCCTAGACTAACATTTAAGTTCATGTTTTCATACGCGGTATATGCTATCGCTGCAACTACCGCCCATAGATGTCGTGCGTGAGCATGCTGTTTTGGTTTCGTGGGGATGATGGCATGTGTCTGTTGCTTACAAGCGGATGTCTATTTTGTTGCCTGACTTTTAAGTGAACGCTTATTACATGCTCATATATAGTCCACAGTTATATGACGGCGAGATTTAAACACTATACGTAACAAAGTGGGTTCTCTTTTGCTTTTAGAAGAGAAATAACTATGTTGTACACTATTGTGCAATTTGTCGGTCTTGGTTCTTGACCACGCAAAAGATTGTCTTCCTGAGGTAGTTATCCTACACATGAAGTACCATAACAATTTTTTCACTGTTCGCCTTTCATATTGCCCATCATAAACAATACATCCCATCGTGTTATGGAAGTTGTACACTCATGACAAGGATTTTGTCACATTATTTTCACGTAGTGTTCACTGAACGCTCAGGTTTTACAAGGCCAGTGCTAAGCACAAGTAAATGTGTCATGCCAGTTAACCCGCTACAAAAAATAGGATTTCTTGTCCCCATTGATATAGCTACACCGACAACCGTGATGACCGCAGTGAGTCAAGCTACGAGACTAATTGTTTTCACTACTTTCGGTTACAGCGTGAACACGATGCAGACGGAAAACAGAAGGGACACAGACAAGCACTGTTTTCCCTTTTGTTTTTCCTCTTCATCGCTTTCACGCTGTAACCAAAAATGCATCCACACCAACTGGCTGAACTTTCAATACTATTGTTTAGACCGAACACATCAAACAAAAGTATAGTAATAAAACAAAGCAAAAACAATACAGGTGGCCATATAACTTGTAATGTAGCACAAGCGATGTACCTTGAAGAGTACAAAATTGCAAGGCCTCCGCATTTCATGATGTACGTGGCATAATTATTCGGACAGCAGTTTCCTTTTCTTTTTCTTTTCTGTACCCGTTTGAACAGTCAAAAACGGCACAGTGATTCCCGTTGGCATCGCAATAAAAGAGTAAAATCCAAAGTTACACCTAAAAGATGCTATAATTGTTTTGACAATGCCACTCATTTAAGCACCAACGCGCCCATTTTGTGCAGATGGCACAAGCCAGAACGGAGGAAAGCGCTGGTTGCCAGTTTATGGTCCTTCTGCCCCGGTCTATAAATGTTTCCAATGTAGCATCAGCAAGCAGCCATACTTCCTTCCTAATGAGCTGTTCTGGAACAAGGAGGGCCAACCATTTACTTAAGATACTGATTTCGATGCAGTGTTATGACGTGGTCAGCAAGTGCAATATGTATAGATTTACAGATATCATTCCTAGGTAAATAGGGGCAGTGTAGGGCTCCCCCTGGGCGGAGGAGTGTGTCCTAACCCTAAGAAAGAGTTATGTGCTTGAGTACTCACTTGAGATGATGCCGTCCATTTGCTCTAGCGCTGCCGCCAACACCTGGCTGGCGTCGCACTCTCGGTCCATGCCTGCATGCGACCACACACAGCGTCAACAGACTGGGACGACAGCTCTCGTAGACAGGGCGTACGACTCGCCCGACGACGACGGTGTACACCGTGCGATCGAGGGTCAACACGAGTCAAGAGCAATTGCTGTTGCCGAATACTTCGCACGTACAGTACTGTCCGAATTGGTTTAGGCCGTCGCAATGGTCAAAGCTGAGACTCTTGACGAGAACCCGATATATCACATTCGTAACGATGTGCCCGCGTTCATGAAACAAATTAGCAGAATCATTTGCCTTTCGCACGTCACCTCGTCCAGAGCGCATCCTTCAAACGTAACTGCTGTTCGTACACTAAAATCGGGCTCTGTTCCCATGCGGGCCTTGCAATGTCTGAACGCCGCGCCCTCAAATACGCGTGTCCAGCGAAGCGTGTGGCCGGAAGCTAGAAATATTCGCCCACAGCACTTCCTACGAAGGAGCATCGCCTCTGCACGATTCTCGCGGATGAGGAGAAAAGAAATAGAAATGTGCTATATGACATTCATAAAGTTATTCGCTAACCACGAAATTTTTTCTTGTATTTTTTGTCATTTCTGAGTAAACACGGCTTCAGCATGTTTTGTGCGCTAGAATTTCATCCTTGAATCGCTATTCATAACCTGTAACTAGGCTATTATTAAATGTTATTACGTTTTTCCGAACATCCCTACTGACGGCCCGTTCCACGTGTAGCGTGTCAGCAACAGTTCACAAGGAAAACAACTGCGCGGCTAGGGCCTTTTTTTTTTTTTCAGAACGAGGTGACAATCACATGAACGAATTCAACTCGAAAAAGCTGTGCGATATCCGTCCACGCGCCGTAAGGATGCAGCGTTCACGCCGACATATCATTTAAGTCTGAGCCACAACGGTCAGCGTTACGCAAAGGCACGCTTAATGAGCGAGAGGCTACAGCACGCCAATTCACGCCGGAACTGCAAGCACGAAAGGAATTCCGATAAGCGAAACAAGTAACGGTGCTACAAAACATCGCATCAGCCGCGAAACAACGAAATCGCACGCTCAATCCACCTTATTTTGCCAATATATCACACAAAAGTGCGATTCGGGTTACATAAACGAGCTTACTTGTCATTGTTTCGAAGTTTCTGGAACCAGTAAAGTGCGATAACTACAATAAACAAAAGCCAACGTCAAGAACTCGCTGATGAGTCGTCTGCCACAAAATCAGCCATTTGTAACGCGCCCTGCTATTTTTTACGTAGCTTGCGTCCTCGCACGTGAAGCTAGCGAACTAAACTGTAATCGTCGAAACCAAAACTGCCATTAACACCGACACACAAAGTTGGTTGCACATGGCCTCAGAGATAAAAAATTGGCATGCCATTGCTAAAGTGAAAAAACCGTAGGCATTACAGCTTGTGTACCCACAGCCTCCTAGATTTATCTTGCCTGCCGGATGATAGTGAAACGCCCGTCCCCTATGGGAACGCTACCTAAGTAGGAGTAAGGGTCTTTGTACTCGGCCTTTAAGATCAGCAATTTTGACGTTTGTTAACTTTGGAGGCTATGCCTTGTGTTGGGAGGTTGCCTGTTGAATGAGAGCAAAACGCCTGTCATTAATGGCGGCGTCACTTACGTAGGGTTAATTAAAATTACGTTCACGTCTTTTTAAAACTGTATTACGTTATTTTTGTTGCATACACGCTCCAAAAACGTAAAAACTTATTTGAGGACGGCCCTATTTAAGTAGCGCTATCATCATAGTGCCGACGACGGCCACTTCCCAAGTGACCACCGATAATCCGGCATGCAAGGGAAATCTAGGAGGCTGTGGTTTACCACAGCAAGAACACCGCATTAAGCATAGAGATTTTGAGAAACTCGCATTGAGGTCATCTCATATCTTTTTTGGCCCAAAGTTGAAGTGCCACATTTAATGCCCGATACCAGTGATAAGAAAGAAAACTAGCAGAACTATTTTATCTTAATTTTTAAAAACTTAATTGCAGATTGAAAACATGCATACAGAATCAAAATTAGCAAATGAGTAAACCTGATAGCAAAAAGTGCGTTTCTTCTTTATTATTTTGTTATTTTACCAATCTACGAATACACAAACAAAAGAAATTAGGATTGTAGAAAATTTGCATAAGGTTTTATTACTATTATTGTATGCGACTATGCAAATCTGGATACAGGGACGGTTTGTAGAGCGATAACTGCAGACATAATAGACCCGAGCTCTGAGTGGTCCTTGTGGTGATGTGTTAGTCTCGGTTTTGGTTCAGTTGTCAGGTGCTGTCGGACGGAGCAGTCATATGCAACAACTGCACGGCCTTGGAGATGGCAGGCGCACGGCCTGTTTTTCTGTGGCCGTCCCAATCGCCGCGCTCTTTAGCAAAACCATCGAGTACAGCCTCGTGCATTCGGCCACCATGAGAGGTCACCAGCACCCGGCCACCGCGCAGGTGCTGCGCGAACACGCAGACAATGTTCGCAATGGCAACGAGGGCTTCTTAGCTCCATGCGTGGTTGCAATGTGCTGTTTAAAAATACAGTTGTATAATTGTACAGTCACAAAGATGATCACACGCGCATGGTTGTTGAAGCAGAGAGAATGACTCAAGAACCTGACAACTGCGTGAGCTCTTCGTCGGTTACACTCCTAGATAAGGAGCTTCAATTTCTGGCAAATGGCGCATGCATGTTATTCATCTGATTTTCTGCCTCGTGCTTCGCGTATATGAAGTCTGAAGTTTCTTCGAACGCTACTTTCCTTTCTTTCTTCAGTTTTTTTCCTGGTTGTCATATATATGCAATGAGAGATGAATAAACCTTCAGTTGCTATTGTGCGTTTGTCCTTGTCCTTTTCCCGTCCGTGTTTTCTACCGCGTAGTACACTTAGATCATGTATGACCAACTGTACACCTTGATTTGCTCAGTATGTAGCTGAAGCTTGGCTAGAACCTTTGCTGATGCCGACTTTAAAAGACGGCATTGGCTGTGTCGTGGTTTTCTACTGCCTCGGCCTCACTGCAACATGACAAGGAAAGCTGTCTCCATCTCCTTTTGTGGAGGGAGCTGGCAGCTTTGCGGTGGTCGAAGTTTGGTGACATGAGGCGCGGGCACTTTTCTCGGTGGTGGTTATAGTGGGCGGCTCTGACTGCATCGGCATGGTCGCCGACCCATCGCGTGACGCTGGCCTTTGTACCGCCATATTTTGAACAACGGGACAGGAAATGGTAGATCTGGTGATGAAACGTCTAACGTAAAACGTGGCCCGCGGCGCATTTTGCAGCGGGTTAGGGGGTGTTTGGGAATCTTTCAAGACGTCCGCGTCAAGGCGGGGTCGGGTTTCTGCGCTGACTTGTTACGTGGCTTGTGCTGTTGTCGCGTTCTTTCTTTGGGGCTCCCCGACGTTTTCAAAAGAGCGATTCTCTCAACCGTACTGCGTGCGGGTGGAACATCATCGTCACAAGCCGTCTCAAGACCAGGAGACTTGTGCTGCACGGGCAGATCATCAAAGAAGACGATCGGAGATGCGTCAAATTCCTTGCTGTCTTCAGGATGGACGTTTGTGAGCAAGTTTGTAACTTTTTCACTTTCATCTGTTGAAGAACCTGACCGCCTCAACCTGGTCAGGATGAATCTTAGCATGATCAGTGGACGTGTGCGTTTCTTTAAGTGCAACAAATCCCAACAAGACATAGGCCGAAGCATCCAAGTGTTCAAGCTGTGGTGAGCTTGAAGGCAGCTTTTCCGATAGGCGTAGATGACAAACCCTGTATGCCGTTTGGCATGATGTAGCCCCGGTTTTCGAGGCACAGCTTCAGTGCGGTGTTGGTACTACACAGTTGCGCAGCCATATGCCAGTGAGCTGTAGTGTGAAGTGTCAGCCTCAAGGTGGTAGCCCCACTTAAGCTGCGTGCCAGGTAGCGGTCAGGTTGGAGGGGGGGTGGAAGGGAGATTGGAGGAAGTCCGGCTAAAAGCGGCAACGAGCTTGAAGCTCCACTCCACCCACCGCTGCTGCTCCATGCCTTCGTACCTGTGCCCCGCCGTGGCACGATCTCGAAGGCGGTTGATGGCCATCCACAATTTCTGCTGGTCCGGCCACGCCTCGCGACATCCAACAGCGTTGATGGTCACCACCCAGTCTTTGGCGTGGTCGTAAAAGCCGCTGAACTCCGGTATTGCGCCGGCCGTTTGCGATTATGAACCCGCAAGTGAAAAGGCACTTAATGCCAACGCGAAGCCGCTCAGCTGGTTCTCGAGCTGCATGAGGACACCATGGAGCTATCTGCATTGCTCGCGTGTGCTCGCCTCCAGGTCGTGCGAGGCGGCTACGTTCAGCATAGCGTCGGCGACGCTCAATGCCAGAAGAATGTCGGGAAGACTGCGGTTCTCGTCGTTATCGCGGCGTTGACCGTGACGCGGAGTCACGTGATCATACGCCGCAGAACCACGGCGCTGTCCGGTGATTCGAAAGTGGAGCCCGTAGTGATGGCTGAGGAGTACGAGGTGGTCACTATATTCAATGTGGCGGGATTACCAGAGGAAGCATGAAAAACACTCCTTGAAAAGCAGCTCAGGTGCCAGCGAAGTCCTCATTGAGAGGGTATCACCAAGGTAAGATTGAACGCCGTTCCCGAGCAACAGGAGGCCATACGCTGGCGTGGCGGCGCCACGATCCGCCCGTGAGCCACCTAGGAGGTCTGAACGCCGTCCACGGAGGGTGTTTGAAGCGCCGAGAGGTCAACAGGTGACAAGGAGGCAGGCACGCCACGCTTAGTCAAGGTGAGGCCGTGCGCATTGTTGGCGCGAAGTAATGCGTCACCGGACAAGTTCCCCGAAACCACAGTGGAGGCATGGACTTCGTCCTCTGCAGCGGGGGGGGGGGGGGGTCGATACTTGCCGTGGCGGTTGCCTGGTGGGGTACATCATCAAGGAAGTGGCACGGCGTTCCTCAGGAAGTCATGTCAGAGCTGGCTTCACCAAATTTAGGCTTTCGAGGACTGCGCCATTGTTGTGAGGAAATACAAACAAGAGACAGCACCGTTGCTGCAGCCGTCTGTTCTAATCTGCACCTATTCTGCCCTCCCTATCGGAAAAATTGCCATGGTGGATACTGGAAAACATGGTGGGAGTAGTGGAAATAATAGTGGGCATGGTGGAAATAATAGTGGGCATGGTGGAAATTATGATGGCTATGGTGGGACGTAGTGGAAAATATGGTGGTTATGCTGAGACATACTGGGTGGTATGGTGTACAGATGATGGGTAAAGTGGAAATGATGGTGGAAAGCAGAGGCTAGATAGTGGGCAATAATGGGACACTCTGCCCACCATTGCGATAATGCTGGGATGCCCTAAGCATATGGTGGGCGGTGCTTATTATGGTGGGCTACATGGTGTACCAAGTTGAGAAACTCTTCCCACCATTGCGATAATGCTGGGAAGCACTAAGCAGATGATGGGTGCTGCTTGTTATGGTGGGCCACATGGTGTACCAAGCTGAGAAGCTCTGCCCACCATCGCGATAATGGTGGGAAGCAGTAAGCAGATGATGGGTGGGCTTATACTGGCGTGCAATTTATATAGTGTACAAAGCTGGGATCTGTACACTACATGTTCCACCACCATGATTTCCACCGAAGGTTAGGCCTACTGACCGAGCCCGTACAATTGTGTTATCCGTGCTTCAGGGTTTCAGAATACATGATTACGACGAATAAGTATGACAATACAGCGCAGCCATATGGCATCAATTAACCTAAATGAAGCATTTTTCAGTGTGCATGGTGTCCGCTCAAGAAGCAACAAACATCGATGCGACGCGATTAAAGCACTCCCAAAGAACGTAATTAAGTGTCTTCTCACCAACAGCCGCCAGTCACACTCGCCGGCACTTCTCTAGCTTTTGTACGAGAACTCAGACGTGGCAATTCGTGTGCTTGATGAACCAATATGACAGCGTAATGTTTCCGGCACACTGCATTCGTTTTGGCCTAGCCGTTATGTAGTTGTTGCTTTAGCGAAAGAGCTACAGCATTGCGCTGGCGCGACCGTCCTCTACATTGCGCGAAAAGCATACCAATACTCAATCAAATAAATTAGGCGGGCGAATCTATGGAATGAGCCTAGAAGCGTCATAAAGCGTGAACAGATGTCGCCCTTTAGAACGAGCGCGAAACGAATATTAAACTTGACAGACCCCGCCGGTAAACTGTCGCTGCTTCCCAGTCCACTTGGTTTT